TCTCTCTCTGTAACTCCGCATTTCAAATAAATAAATAAATCTTAAAAAACAACATGAGCAGGAGAGACTGGCAATTTGGGGAGTAGGGTAAGCACCACCTTTCACACCAGAATCCCATCTGGGCTCTGAGTAGAGTTCCAGCTATTCCATGTTAGCCTGATTAGTAAAGAAATAATTGCAAAGTAAAATTATTTAGCATAGTCCTTTTTAAAAAAGATTTATTTACACTAAAGTCATAGTTCCTCAGGGAGAGGAGAGGCAGAGAGAGAGGTCTTCCATCTGCTGGTTCACTCCTTAATTGGCTGCAACAGCCTGAGCTGTGCTGATCTGAAGGCAGGGGCCAGGAGCTTCTTCTGGATCTCCTACGTGGCTGCAGGGCCCAAGAACTTGGACCATCTTCTCCTGCTTTCCAAGGCCAAAGCTGAGAGCTGGATTGGAAGTGGAGCAGCTGGTACTTGAACCAGTGTCCGTGTGGGATGCCGGCACTGCAGGCAGTGGCTTTATCCACTGTGCCACAGCCCCAGCCCCAGTATAGTCCTTTTTAGCTATTACATGCATTGTTTATTTCCATGGGAATCCTATGATTGAAAGAAGATACTGCAAAAGTTCCATCTTTTTTAAAAAAAATTATTTTTTTGAAAGGCAGAGGTAGAGTGAAAGGAAGACACACAGACCCACACCACACACTGACACACACACACATGCAGAGAGAGAGAGATAAATATTTCATCTGCTGGTTCAATCCCCAGATGGCTTTAATGGCCAGAGCTGGGCAAATCCAAAGCCAGGATCCAGGAGCTTCTTCCAGGTTTCCCACATGGGTGCAGGAGCCCAAGCACTTGGGCCATCCTCTGCTGCTTTCCTGGTCACATTTTAGGGAGCTGGATTGGAAATGGAGCAGCTAGGACTCAAATCAGCCCCAAATGGGAATGCCAGCAGTGCAGGCATTGGCTGTACTTGCTACGCCACAATGCCAGCCCCATAAAAGGCCATTGCAGGTAACATTTGCAAGCAAAATCTTAGTCTTAGTTCAGCTTATCAGCAGAAAACATTGTCAATGTCAAAAATTAAAAAAAAATCTGGGTATTTTGTACTGTGTTTTAGATGCTACTTGGGATGTATGCTAATGGACCCTCTGGGAGTCTGATTCAGAAGTTCAAGTAGTTAGGTTTCTTGTGTCCCGCATAGATCTAGACTGAAGTCTAGATCCCTGAGTTCTTTGCCTTCGCCCTGTCTTAGCACTTGCAGGCATTTGGGATGTGAGACACTGGATGATTCTCTCTCTTTCTCTCTCTCCAACTCTCTCCCCAACCCTCTCCCTTTCCTTCACTCTCCCCTTTCCTCCCCCTCTCCTTTCCTTCTGTTTATTTTGTCTCTTTTTATACCCCTGCCTTTCAAATGAAATTAAACTATATAGTTTTTTAAAATACAAAAAAGAAATGCCTTCACTTGCCTGTGTGTCTCTCCACAAATATCACCCCCCCCCAATTTTTGTCCTTTCCTCAATCCTAAAGAAGTTTGGGTCCATGTTCTGCTTCCACTAGAACCACTTTCTGCTTCAACATCCCTGCTATGAGGGGGGCATCCACTACCATCATTTTGTTGTCAACAATCAGTTCTGTGCCGCAGCCTTCAATGGACACTTCTGTTGGCCCTGAGCATAGCAAATAAATACAATATTAATGCAAGCAAACAAATGCTTCAGAGAACTGAAATGAACTGATTTGGCCAGCAGTTGACCTCAGGTGAGCATTTTCAACTTCCATGGCCTCTGAGCCTTTCCTGCAGGACCTGTGGGGCAATGAGACTTACCTAGATGGGTTCTGTGCGAGCAGGGTCTCCATGTGGAAATGTGATTGCTCCTTGGAATGGCTGATGATGGAGAGTGAAATCCAGAGATCGCACGCGAGGCAGCAGGAAGGAGTGAAGCATCAGCCTCTGAGTCAGCTCAAGACTCCAAGAGTGACCACCGTGTCCTGTGCAAGGCCAAGATGGCACACTGTGAGGAAAAACAGCAAAGGGGTGAATCTATAGCTCCCTGACTCTGCTCATTAGGCACACCTGCCTCTTGGGGGTCCTGGCCACTGAGCACCTGGTCTCCTTGTAGGGATGCCAGTTTGGGCAGAAATACATTTCCCTGCTGATTATCTGTTCCCAGCAGACCTGGTGAGAAGTCAGGTGAGCCCAGCTGTGATGATCTCCTCTGTGAACTCTCCTGCATCCCAGAGGTCAAAGCTCGCAGCCATTTATCCTTCTTGAGTTAAAGTTTCCTCCAGAGTCCACAACAGAAGAACTCTTGAAGATGTCCCCAGTGTCTCCAAAGCAAAAGTTACCTTGGGGATACAGTTCACAACATCTCCAGAAAATTGGTTTTTTTCCTCTTCTTTTTTTTTTTTGGACAGGCAGAGTGGACAGTGAGAGAGACAGAGAGAAAGGTCTTCCTTTGCCGTTGGTTCACCCTCCAATGGCCGCCGCAGCTGGCGCGCTGCGGCCAGCACACCGTACTGATCCGATGGCAGGAGCCAGGTACTTATCCTGGTCTCCCATGAGGTGCAGGGCCCAAGCACTTGGGCCATCCTCCACTGCACTCCCTGGCCACAGCAGAGAGCTGGCCTGGAAGAGGGGCAACCGGGACTAGAACCCAGTGTGCCAGCACCCCAAGGCGGAGGATTAGCCTAGTGAGCCGCGGCGCCGGCCCTTTTTTTTTCCTCTTCAAGAAGGGGAGACTTTTTCTCTGATGTACATCCAGGGACCCTTTACTTCCCGAGAACTAGAAATTATATCACACATTAAAGAGCTGTCATTTAACTCTTCATGATAAAATGTTTGTTAATTGGAAGGGATGTATTAACTCATAGTTTTGTTTTAATTGACACATAATTGGTGGGCAACAGTGTGATGTATGGATGTAAGCATACATGGTGTTATGGACAAATGGGGTGATTAGCATATCTGTCACCTAAACATTGATATTATCTTTGAGTTAGCAATACTCAAAATCCTTTCTGCTGTCTTTTTACATATATGATGCATTATTGCTTACTTGTAGCCACTCTACTGTTCAATAGACCCCAGAACTCATTCCTCTCTTCCAACTGAGATTTTGACCCTTTGGCCAACCACTGTCCATCCTCCCCTGCTACCTACTGTCTTTGGCCTTTCCACTGTTCTACTATCTGTGTCTATGAGATCAACTTCATAAGATTCTACTTAGGGCTGAGAGCATGCAGTGTTTGCCCTTCTGTGTTAGGCTTGTTTCAGTTGTCATAACATCCAGGTTCATCCATACTGTCCAAAAAGAAAGCATTTCATTTTTCTGAATGGGTAGTATTTTATTGTGTATTTGTACCATTAGTAAATAATTTATTTATTTATAATAATTTAAAGGCAGAGAGACAGAGAAAGCTACAAAGAGAGAAAGAAAGAGGTTTCCACCCTTGGTTATTCTTCCCAATGCCCACAGCATCTGGTCTGGGCCAGGCTAAAGCCAGGACCCTAGAACTCCATTTGGGTCTCCCAAATGAGCAGCAGGACACAGATACTTTAGCTCTTACTGATGCCTTCCAGAATGTTCTGTAGCAGGAAGCTTAATGAGATACCAAGCAGGGACTAGAACCCAGAAAGTGTCTGTGGACTGTGGACATCCAAAGAAGCATGTTAATTTCTGCACCAGACGCCAACCCCTTGACATCCATTTGCTTGCTCATGAGGATTGTGTTAGCAGAAAATTATATATGTATTTCTCGAGATGATACAGTATTATTAGATACATACTCACTGAAAAACATTCTAATAAACAGATAAGAATCAAGTTTGTGTAGAGTTTATGAAATGGGAAGATATATATATATATATTATTTTCTGAGAAAAAAACAGCATGGTTTTCTTCCAAGATATTGTGACTATTCCAGCATGAGAGAGAAGGAAATGTGTTAGTAAAGATTGTAGAGTCTTGGAAGATTTGAGGAGACTGAATTTGTGGAAATGTACATTTTCAGATGTGTTGGTGATTTTAAACACAAGATGCATAACAATTCTGTGGGAGTGTAAATAGAATGTGAATGATGATGTCGGGTCCTGTGCAGGCAAAGAAATATTTTTCCTTGTATTTGTTGCTTTTTTCACTTATACTTCTTTTTTAAAACTTTTATTTAGTAAATATAAATTTCCAAAGTACAGCTTATGGATTACAATGGCTTTTTCCCCCCTATAACTTCCCTCCCACCCGCAACCCTCCCATCTCCCACTCACTCTCCCATTCCATTCACATCAAGATTCATTTTCAATTATCTTTATATACAGAAGATCAATTTAGTATATATTAAATAAATATTTCATCAGTTTGCACCCACACATCACATTAATAGACTACAGAAAAACCATATGATTTCACTTATACTTTTAATTAAACTTTTATTTAGGTTATTTGTAGATAGTCATGCATTTGTAAGAAATAACACATGAAATCATGCATCCATGGCTCAGTTTCCCCAACTGTAACATCTTATGAAGTGACAGTAAGCAGGATATTAGCCCTGAGAGCAGCCAAAACACAGAACAGGTGCATTAACACAAGACCAGGGTCTAGCCCTCTTACAGCCATGACCACTGTTTTCTTGTTCCAATACCTAAACCTCACAACTACTCATTTGTCTGCCACTAAGATATCACTGCCATTTCAAAACGTCATATAGAATGTAAATGCATCTACCCCCAAAAAATGTGAAGTAGATTCCTCTAGGGGCCCATTTTGCAGTGACTAAGTAGATCTTGGGACATGAAGATGAAATAGAATCAAGATCCTAAATCTGAAGAAAAACCCAGAGACAAGCTGCAAAACATGATTAAAGATTGAGTTTTACATAATGACAAGGAGCAGTTACAGCAGAGAGAGACATGAAGAAGGGAAGAGAGAAAAATTGGATGTAGATGACCTGAATCTATGTGTAGCAGTAAAATACATGACTATTTTGCAGTTTAAAAAAAAGGAGAAGTACTACTTAGAACAATATATGTCATTAGGGAGAATCTATTCTTGAATATCGTACTGTCCTGTGAGACAATTGGGAATTTTCCAAATATCTCTGACCCAATATTAGGAATAACCTTTGGAAAGGAGAAAAATATTGAAGGGAAAAGCATGGGATACATAAGAGAGTGCTGAACTGCTCACCTTAGATATTGAGGTTGAAATCAACGTACTAGAAACTTAAGTAAATAAACAGAAGAGAAGATTTTATTTCCATAGTTGGATCCAAGAGTAAAAATTGCTGACTCTGGGTCAGCCTAGTGGTACATCAGCTCAAATCACTGCCTACAGTGCTGGCATCATATATGGGCACTTGTTCTAGACCTGGATGCTCCATTTCTGATCCAGCTCCCTAATAATTTTTCTGGAAAAATAGTAGAAGATGGCCCAAGTTCTTGGGGCCCAGCACCAATGCAGGAGTTCTGGATGAAGCTCCTGGATTCTGATTTCTGGCTTCTGGCTTCTGGCTTCTGGCTGGCACAGCCTTGGCCAGTGTGGCTATTTAGGGAGTGAATCAGCACATGGAAGATATTCTCTCTCTCTCTCTCTCTCTCTCTCTCTCTCTCTCTCTCTCTTTCTAACTCAGCCTTGCAAATAAATAAAATAAATCTTAAAAAAGAATTTCTGACGCTGGGGCTTTGATGTTGGTAATCCTTGGAAGTTCTTCAGCCCTAAGACAATTGGCATACCTGTGGTTTCCCTTCAAAAGATCTCTTCAGAGCCCTCTTAATTTCTGTATTCCTCAGACTGTAGATGAAGGGGTTCAGCATGGGGGTCACCACAGTGTACATCACCGAGGCCATGGCAGTTGAGTGTCGGTTTTGGGTAACAGCAGAGCTAAAATACACACCTAATCCTGTGCAATAAAATAAGGAGATGACAGAGAGGTGAGAGGCACAGGTGGAGAATGCTTTATGCTTCCCTTGAGCTGAGGAGATTGCACAGATGGAGGAAATGATTTTAGAATAGGAGTAAAGGATCCCAGCCAGGGGACCTCCACCCAGCAGCACAGATGCAAAGTACAGAATGAGTTCATTAGGAAAGGTATCAGAGCAGGCAGTGTGGGTCACCTGCTTCAGTTCACAGAAAAAGTGGTGGATTTCCAAGTCTGTGCAGAACGTTAGTTGCAACACCATCAGACTGTGTAACAAGGCATGCAGGACACTGATGACCCAGGACACCAGGACCAGCTGCACACAGAGCCGGGGGTTCATGATGACCATGTAGTGCAGGGGGTGACAGATGGCCACAAACCTGTCATAGGCCATCACAGCCAGGAGAAAGTTGTCCAAACCTGCAAAAACCAAGTAGAAGTACATCTGGGTGATGCAGCCTGTATAGCTGATGGCTCTGCTCTGTATCTCGATGTTCACCAGCATCTTGGGGACAGTGGTGGAGGTGAAGCAGACGTCCACCAAGGACAGGTTGGAGAGGAAGAAGTACATGGGTGTGTGGAGGTGGGGGTCTGAGAGGATGGCCAGGATGATGAGCAGGTTCCCAGCCACAGTGACCAGGTACATGGAGAGGAAGAGCCCAAATATGACGGGCTGCAGTGCTGGGTCCTCCAAGAATCCCAGAAGGAAGAATTCTGAAAGTCCTGTATCATTCCATGGTTCCATTCACTTGAGATGACCACTTAAAAAGAAATGCATATTATGAGACATTTTCATACAGCCATTACTCATCTGTGTAAAAATTACAATCTATGTTTTGTAGGCTAAAAAATATTGATATTTTATTCATATTGTGTATATGGATATTGTCCCAGTTCGGGAACTCTTGTATTGTCATCTCTGAGTAAGGCTTCCTTCCCACTTAAGATTTTCATGTACATACTCTACTCTTTTGATTAGAAAGATTTCTTGTGACTTATCAGTATAAATTGATTCCTGAACTTGTTCCAAACACTGGAAGTCAACATGTCTTCCATGCTGAAAACAAAATTTTCCATATACCAGTGATGGAGCTGTAATATCAGTGAACACATAAATGCTATAATGAAAAGAAAGTAGGCATGATGGAGCATGGGTGGAGGGTGTTATTTTCTACCAAGTGCCTAGGTAAGAGCTATGGTGCAGAAACAAAGAGCCTTGGAATATGGAGCCCTATTATCCTAGCTGTGAACACTGCTCTCATATCACAGAGCAGGTGCACACAGACACGCAGACAATCACGCAACCACTATGGAGTCTGACGTTGTTGTGCCATGTCCTTCTTATCTGTGGGCTCACTGGCAGGGCTACATGTGGATACCACACATGCTGGCTAACTCAGGTTCTCTTCACTATGAAGTGGGTACAAATATCACCTGAAGATTATTATGAAAACCACCATGGACAAGTAATGGTGGATCTGTGTTCTGGTATAACCATTTTCTCATTTCTTTTATTCATTCATTTATTTTTATTTAATTTATTAGAAAGTCATAGATACTGAAAAAAGAGATGGCATTGGAGATACAGATGATAAATAGATGATAGCTAGCTAGTTAGACAATAGAGTTGGTAGAGAGATGAAAGGTAGAAGGAAAGAAAAAAAAGAAGCAAAGAAAGAGTGCTCTTCCATTCACCAGTTCACTCACTGAATTCCCACAACAGCCAGAGCTGGGCCACATTGAAGCCAGGAACTCTGGAAGTCAGGCCAGACCCCTTATGTGCATGGCAGGCACCTGAGTACTTCAGCCATCACAGCTGATTTCAAGATACGCAGTAGCAAGAAGCTGGAACAGGGAGTGGAGTGGAGAACTAAACCAAGGCTCTCTGATATGGGATGCAGGCAACCTAAGTGTCCCAAATGCTATACCAAACACCCTCCATAATTTTTAAAAACTATGAATTTATGCAAAAAGCTGTAACACTGAAAATGTAATCAGGTTAAGTGTAGTTGTTTAAAAGTTCAACGCATTTACAAAACTGATTTTTACTTTTAAAAAGGAAAAATTTAAAGGTATCTACAGGAGTAAACCATTCAAGATGCATTCTCAAGATTTACAAATAAAATGATGTAACTGAAAAAAAGTTCTTTAGAACATAAGCCTAAAATAGCATTGAATATTATCACTTCCCTTATATAAAGATTTTGGATGTGAACATGTCTATGAGTAAAGAAGTTGACGCTGAACCAAAGGTTAAAGAAGAATGAATTGCAAATGATGGTACAGGTGATGCAGCTTCTAGAAACAGATCTAATCAGAAGATAAAAAGCACAAGGGGGAATATCAGAGATCAAAAAATGAAAATATGCATTATGTATATGAGATATACTAACTCTAATGAGACAAATGAACATTTTTGCATTGGCAAAGCAATGGGAGAAGGCAATAACACAGCATGAGAGATTTGAGGACACATTTATGGATTCTCCCCATCCCACACACACACACACACACACAAAAAAAATACTCACAAACACACAGAAATGAAATGGAGAACAGCAAAGCTTTAAAGTTTGAAAGAATGCAATTAGAACATGAAAAAACAAAACTGTAACCCCAAAGTACAGGGCAAAATGCTAGCAAGGCAATCTGTATTAGCTAAAGTAAATGGTTACAAACCCACACGTATATCCAGCTTGACAGTTAAAGATATAATTGGAAAGCACTTTTGTTTAGCACAGCCTTTTTCACTCATTCTGTGCATTTTCCCCCTTGGGAATGCCCATAGCTGGGATAAATAGCTACAAAAGACATGTCTTATGACATGCTCCTGCAGGTAGAATTTAAAAACTCTTGGTGTGAATCTATCTCATCAGTTGTCAATAATCAGCATTTCAAAAATAAAAAAATGGAGATGAGCATTTGGTCCTTTGTTTATGGTGCTGCCTGGGACACCTCATCCCTGATCAGGTTGCCTGGATTTGAGTCCTGGGTCTGCTCTGGATTCCAGCTTCTTCCTGTGGACCCTCTGGGAGGTCACAGTCATACTGCCACTAACACAGGAGACCTGTTAGGGTTCTGAGTGCCTGATATCTTCGGCCTGGCCCAGCTGCAGCTGTTGAAGGCATTTGGGGAGTGAACCAGCAGAGGATGGGTCTCTTCCTATCTGTGTGTCTTTGTCTCTCTTTGTTTCTTTACATTTCATATAAAATTTAAATAAACAAATATTAAAAATAAGAAAAGAAACACTCACTTGCCTGACTATCCCTCTCCTTATTGTAAAGATTTTTTTTTGGCGGGGGTGGGGTATCTGTTGTATTGGAACCACTTCCTGCTTCTCATTCCCCACTCTGATAGAATTTCCCCCCTTGGCCATTTCATCGGCAGCAAAGAGTCCTGGGCTCCTGGTTTCAATGGATACTTTTGTTGTTTTTTAACATCGCAAGTAAATACAATGTGTAAATACCAAGCAAGCAAATGCTGCAATTCCTTCACCTGGAAGTAGACAGATTTGACCCTCAGGTAGACCTTCTCAGCTTCCATTCTCTCTGAGTCTTTCTTGCAGGGCCTGCTGGGCTCTCAGACTCACCTGCATGGGTTCTCTGTGAGGCTGTCTCCAGGTGGAGGTGTGACTCCCCCCGGATGGCTGATGATGGACACTAAAGCTCTGTCCCACACAGACAGCAGGAAGGAGTGAAACATCAGTCCCTGCACCAGACCAAGATCCCAGTGAATTCATAGCTCCCTGTCTCTGCTGATTAGACACATCTCCTGCAAGCACCCCGTTTCCCTGGGGAGCACACACGTCTGGGCAATAATAATTGTCCCTGTTGTTCTCTGTTCCCAGGAGTCCAGGTTAGGAGTCAGGTGCTCTAAGTTCTCATGGTTTCTTCTCTGCGAACTCTCCAGCTTCCCAGAGAGCACAAATCTCAGCAACTTATTTGAGTCAACATTTTCTCCAGACTGCAAGATGCAAGAACCCATCTTGAAGGGAACCCTAGGATTCTTCAGTCCACAAGTTTGGTTGGGGACACGGCTGCAGACATCTCCAGAACATTGGTATTTCCTTCTTCAAGAAGAGTGAAACTCTTTCTCTGATGTAAAACCAGGGCTCTTCACTTCTTATGAATTAGCAATCATATCACAAATTAAGAGCTGTTTTGTTAATTTGAAAAGGTGTATTCATTTGCATTTTTCTGTATTTTATTTGACACAATTATGGAGGAAAGTGGGAGGTGTGGGGTGCATTATAGACCTGTTATCATCAAATCAGTGTAATTGGCATATCGGTCACAAACACTGATCATATTGTTGAGTTGGGAATATTCAGAATCCCCTCTTCTAGCTACTTTGAAATATCCACTGCATGATTGTTAGCTGTAGTTACCCTACACCAGAACTTACTGCTCTGTCCCTGAGACAGGTTCTACCCATTGACCAACTGCTCACCAATCCACCTTCCATTTACATCCCCCGGCCTTTGCTAACCACTTCTCCCTTATCCATTTCTACAAGTCAGTGTGGTAAGATTCTTCTCATGAGTGACTCATGAGGTCTTTGTCTGCCTGTGCCTGGCTTATCACTTTTCACAATGTTCTCTAGGTTCATCCATAAAGTCTGAAATGACAAAATGCATTCTTTTTATGGGTGAATAGTATTCCATTGTGTGTATGTGTGGCATTAAAATCATTTATTTATCTATAGCTATTTGAAAGGCAGAGAGAGAAAGATACAGAGAGAGAAGCAGAAAGAGAGGTTTACTCCCCAAATGCACACAACTGAGCTTGACTTGGCAAAAATCAGGAAAACAGAACTCAATCCCTGTCTCCTGCATCAGCAGCAAGAGTCCACACTTGAGCCATCACCTGCTGCCTCCCTGGGTGTGCATGAATAGGAAGTGAAATTGGGAGGAGAGTGGAATATTGAACCCAAACACTCTGATTTATGATGCAGGCATCACTTGGGTGGCATCTTTTTTTAGGATTTATCTATTTCTTAATTTAGAGTCAGATTACACACAGAGAGGAGAGGCAGAGAGAGAGAGATAGTCTTCCATCCAATGGTTTACTCCCCAGTTGGCCACAATGGCCAGAACTGTGCCGATCCAAATCCAGGAGCCAGGAGCCTCCTCTGGGTCTCCCATGTGGTTTCAGGGGCCCAAGGACTTGGGCCATCTTCTACTGCTATCCCAGGCTATAGCAGAGAGCTGGATCAGAAGTGGAGCAGCCGGGACTAGAACTGGGGCCCACATGGGATGCCAGTGCTTCAGGCCAGGGCGTTAACCCACTGTGCCACACCACTGGCTTGGGTGGCATCTTAACCACTGTACTGAACACATGCCCTCTCACATCCACTTTATCTTGAGAAAAATGTGGTGTATTCCTCTTTGAGGTGTGATTTTCCCATCCTTCTCTAATGGCTGTAACCATGTCTACCAGACCAACTCTAACTCATCCCACTTACAACTGTCCCTTTAAAGCAGGGAACATTGTAGTGCTCCACCTCCATTGTGGCTAAAATCACAGATTTTACAGTCACATGGGACTTAAGCACCCCAAGTTCATCAACAGACAGATCAACTGGATAGTGAATCAACACAGAAACAACAGGGCTAATCTACACTATGGGCCAAATGGACCTAACTGATATCTACAGAACCTTTCAGCCCACAGTTGAAGAATACATGTTTTTTTCATCAGTGCATGGGACTTTCTCTAGGTTAGACCACATACTAGACCATAAAGC